AATATGACAATATTTGAAAACACTAAGTCGATACATTAAAGACAAGCCTGATGTGTTTTCTGAGTCGTATAAATCAAAGAAACTACGTAAGAAAATATAAGAAAATACTGATAAAGTAATTATTGTATATTTATATTCCACGTACAATCGCTGATTTAGTTCTTTGATATTTGCAGTATATTGTTTTAAGATGGTATTTAATAAAAATGACTAGTTTGGGTTATTTCGGAAAATCAAGCGTGGAAATTCTGATTTTACCTAACAGTTTGACATACATTTTGTCCATAAACTGTCCTGGTTATAGAATAATGTTTTAAATACCTAGATGGATGGATACGACATAAACCACATACGACATAAACATTGTAATGTAAAATTGACAATGGGTTGTTATGTGTTTATTTTTTATTACTTTTATGTTGTATTAATAGTCAAGCTTTTATATAATATTACATACGAACTAATAAACTTTAACGTGTAATTAATAAATGTAACTTAAGTAGTTGGTGGTGTGTATCAGTCCAGTATAAAGAATTCTACAAGTTTTAATTGATGCATAAACAAATAATTAAAAGAATCTCATTAAAATAATGACAGAGTGGAATCAATATGCACAGAACTTCGCTAGTCATTCTCCTCACGAACCGCGTAGGCGTTCACAAAATTGGCCAATGTTGATCGAAACTGGTTGTTAAGATAATTTACTTCCTACTAATCTCAAATCTCGTTATGTTAAAAAAAATAAGCCGGCTTGTTTAGTTAAACCCTGAATGCATGCAAAGAGAAGGTGTTCGTGTGAATCGAACATTAATGGACTGGCGTTTAATCACAGATCAAGGAGCGTCAAGGCCACAGATTTGTTGAGTATTACCGTTGGCGGTGTCGGCGTATCGAGTTAAGCCACCACCACGTGATAGGTGGTAACAGTTTCACTTGTGTTGCTGTTGCTGGGCGCTGTGATGCCGCCTACACTTTACCAGTGACATGACATGAAGGGCCAGTCAATATCTATGTCATCGTCATCTGTCAAGTGACAAGTTGTAATAGTTTCACTTGTGTTGCTGTTACTGGTCGCTGTGATGCCGCCCACACTTTACCAGTGACATGAAGGGCCAGTCAATATCTATGTCATCTCTCAAGTGACAAGTTGTAACAGTTTCACTTGTGTTGCTGTTACTGGTCGCTGTGATGCCGCCCACACTTTACCAGTGACATGAAGGGCCAGTCAATATCTATGTCATCTCTCAAGTGACAAGTTGTAACAGTTTAACTTGGGTTGCCGTTAACTGTGATGCCGCATACACTTTAGCAGTGACATGAAGGGCCAGTCAATATCAATGGCATCGTCATCTTTCAAGTTACAAGTTGTAACAGTTTCACTTGTGTTGCTGTTGCTGGTCGCTGCGATGCCGCCCACACTTTACCAGTGACGTAAAGGGCCAGTCAATATCTATGTCATCTGTCAAGTGACAAGTTGTAACAGTTTCACTTGTGTTGCTGTTGCTGTTGCTGGTCGCTGCGATGCCGCCCACACTTTAGCAGTGACAGGAAGGGCCAGCCATGTCTATAGTCAAGTGCCTCACTGTCAGTTTCCTGCGCCAGGTAGTTTGCATTCCAGTCGTCCACCAACGCTCATTACATGTCCTTATTTGCACATCCAACTGCGTCAACTAAACGTATTTATTTAATTCATAAATACTACTTACACAACAATGAGTTAAATGTTCGACCCTAAATTGATTTTGAAACCATGAGCATTATGGTTATAAATTTCAACTGGAAATTTACTTACCTTCTGTGTTCGTTTTGGCAAGGGTAAATTTTTCCCCACTTTAACAATTTCTTACAGATTGTACACGTAAAATGTGGTCGTATTTCAGGTTTCTATACAGTATTTGTGCTGTGAAAATAGAAGATTGGCTGATGAAAATATAGTATTGTCAAGGGATATGACTAAACGTGACGCCTACATGGATACAATGAGTATCTGAGTGCAAGTTTAACTGTTTCATTTAAGTTCATGTATTGACGGTTTCGGTCAGATCCCTTTAAATCCCGATAATAATACATAATAAAAACATCATCTATCCGGATTGTGTTAAAGTGATTGTAAGAGTGCGCTGCAGCGCTTGAGATAGGTAAGTTAGGGTAGGTTCATGATAGTGACAAACAAGGAAATATTTATCGGAAGCAAAAGTTGTTATCTCGTGTGATTTGTTGAAGGGAACGATGTAATTTGATTTGTTTGTCAAATGAAACCCCTTAAACATTTTTAAAAACGACAATGCGTATTTTGAGGCCCCTTTTCGTGTATCAGAAAAAAGTAAATTCGAGATGTTAGGGTGATTGTCGTTATCATAAGCTGAACCTAACGTAACTAAATCTGCCTAAACACACTGCAAAATAGTAGTTGCCATCTTCTTGTAAATACCTGAATACATTTCGGTACGAGTGTGTATGACAATATGACAATTGCTTATCTGCTAAATACGGCAAGTATTTAATGTAATTTAAGTATTTAATTCAAGTATTTACTACTTTAGTGCCAAATACTCGTTATCCTTAGGCGCTAATGTTCTGTTGCCCCGATTTCAATTCACAAGTCGCAGACAGGGATAAGAAAGCTGCGTCGCGCGTCGCGGGCAAACGCCCACCTCTAGGCCCACCAGGCCCACATCTTATCACCCCCCCCCCCCCTTTAACACACTCGTCTGGCCATACTTATCACTTGTTTCCGTTCCGAGAGATACATACTTTTCAAGTCTAGCGTGTCGCGGGACACATGTTCACACTCAGATGATATGTGTTTCAGTTTGCTAAAAACACCTTCGCTTCATTATTCTTGTAGAAAGGACATTGATTAGTTGTTTTAAATCAATCGCTCCTATATGATAAAATGTGTTAGTTGAACTATCCTATCGTATTATTAAATGCGAGTATTTACTTTAATATATCCTCCACAACATCCAATAGCTACGTTATTGCAGAGTACTAAAGTATTTATTTTTATACACTATTTATTTATTTATTTATTTGTATTTATTTATTTTTATATTTTTTATACACTGGATAATACACGTTAAACAAACAGGATAGTCCAAGCACCAAGATACATTGAGATCACTTTATTTTATTAATGTAGAATTGAGTGACCGAAATACTACCCTATGTAAACAAACATCATACCGAATACACACTCTTCGGAAATAAAATTAACACACGCTTACTCTACATCTCTTGGACGCTAACCAATTGGAAGGTTTTTAGTTTAACCAATCTCATCCTTGTGACCCAACTGAAACAGATTTTGTGTCAGTTGCGGATAGGTAATCTGAAAAACAAAAAGATATACGTCTAATAACACTAACACACGCCTATTGGGTCTGATGATGATTGGAGTGTCTTTTATTATTTATTAGTAAAAAATCCAAAACTGTATATCCGCAAATCCATCCAAAAGAATAAGCAATTAGCCAGTCAATAACAACATACTCTGGTCTTTCTAGGCATCAAAACTGATGTGGCCTGATAGTAAAATTTCAGTTAAGAGGAGAGCCCACAGAGGTCGTTCTAGGCCTTGGACTTTTATTCCAGTCATTTTAGGTAAAAATACCCCTCTACCTGGAAATAATTCCCTAAGTGGTGAAACTTTGCAAATGTGTAGTACTTGTACCCAGTAACAACATATCAAAAATCTACATTCGTGCATGATGCTGTGCTACGGCCACCATCATGGAAAATGGCGGCCGATTTTAACTTTTTAGCCCATATTTCACTACCGTTGGAAATACAAAAATCTTGTTCAAGCAAAAGTTAAAGAACACACACAAATACATCTTTTACTCATTTACATATTTGCCCAATCTCTAACGGTTATTGATAGAAATTGAAATTAATATTTAAAAAACATTAATTTTGTTTTATATATATAGAGATATATGTGTCCGTGAAAACGATAACTCAAGTAATGTCCATCCGATTTTGATGAAATTTAGCTTGAAGGTGTATGGCGGGATAACCTTGAATGAGTTCCCGGACCATGGCAAAGGGGTTTTTATGGGGTAAAAATTGGGTTTTCTCATTTTTGCCTCTCAAAACACGAAACTTCCCAATTTCTCTCTAAACCATCTTGAAGATATTAAAAAAACAAATAATTTAGTATGTTAAATTTTATTTGTACGCTTATTGGTTCCGGAGAAAATTTAAAAATATTGAAAATTTTTAATCCCTATGTTATTCTTATGGAGAATATTGTAAACCGTTTTTGACCAAACTAGGTAAATTTATTTATTTTATACTAAGCTATTAATATTCTACTAAAACACACACTTTATTACCCTCCCTGTAGCAGTAAACCTAGGTACTCGTTAAACCTTATGTAATTTAAAGATTTTATTGAAAATCATTTAAATTTAAATTTTTCTCAATAATAGAGATGGGGCAAATTTGTAGCCTAAATGAGTAAAATATGTATTTTTGTGTCTTTAACTTTTGCTGAACGAGATTTCTGTATTTCCAACGGTTAGTGAAATATGGACTAAAAAGTGAAAATTGGCCACCATTTTCCAAGATGGCGGCCGTAGCACAGTATCATTGACTTTATAAGTCAATGACAGTATGCATGAATGTTGATTTTTGATATGTTGTTACTGGGTACTAGTACTACACATGTGCAAGGTTTCATCAATGGGAATTATTTCTACCTAAAACCCTAATATGACAGGACTGTTTCTTCAGCCTCAGGGATAGAGTAGCAGTATGAATGATAGAGGCTTAGAATGTTACGAGGCAGCTAAGAGTTTAAAGTTAAGCGACATTGTATTTCCTGATTTCCGAATTTATAGTTAATTTAAATACATACTTCTTTTTTAACTCATGGTTGTGTTTCAATCAATAAGTTCTCAGTAAAAATTGAAAGATAAGTATATAGAAATTGCCCAATTTATCGGCCGTATTAGTTCAGTATGGGTCAACTTATGTATTCTCATTGCTCTGTACAGATGTCGGTGCTACTGGAATCACGGTCGTTTCGGCCGTTCAAGTCGAGCGAGGAATATCTGTACGCGATGAAGGAGGACATCGCAGAATGGCTGAATGGTCTGTATCCAGACCTCTACATGAACGTCAACAACTTCATGGACCGCCTCGACACCGGAGTCGCCCTCTGCAAGGTACGCTAGCACTATCAGTAATCTCGTATCTCCTTGGAGGTTACCTCTTGTGGGGTTAGGGGAAGCGTAGACAGGAAATAGCATTGCCAAAATAGGCTTCGGTTAGAAGTATACAACTCAAAACAACATATAGCCTTATAACAGTATCCTTATGTTTCGGGAATTAAGGAAGTTTCTAAAAGCAAAAACAAGCCCCTGCACAGGGATATTTTTCCCACAGGATAAACATTCTTAAGAAATAACCTAAGGGAATGGTTACAGGAAAAAAGCATGACAAAAGGTTATTCATATAGTAAATTAATAGGGAGTGAGTGTTCACTAAGCCTTTTTACGTAATACGTAATGATTTCCAAATGAGTATTCTGTGATGTTATATGAGTGCATTGGCATACGTTTATACTTTGATATAATTTTAAGACATGCGTCAGTGTATTCACAATTCCAACTACCTTTTGTCCCTTAGTAACTCTACTACTATGTATGTCTACAGGCTGGATTGTATAATACGGTTTAGGCTAAATTGATTACTAAATACAGTACAAAAGAAAATGACATTTCCATAAATACCATTCGGCATTGGTTATTTAATAAGCTGATACACTTGGAATGTTTTATTAAGCGATGGTATAATTACTAATGATCAAAATTGTAGACTATTTTACCGCAAAATATTATACACAAATGCTAAACTCGAGTATTGAGGAAAACCCAAGGACGTTCAGAATAACCCTCGGATTATAAAATAGACACCATATGGACCATAAACAAGCTAATAACCTGAAAATAAATATGTTTGTACAGTATTATTATTTCAAAGCAACTATCAAAAACGTCCAAAACACATGTAGATATTATTCGTATACTGTTCGATTACGGAAACTAACTAATCATTAATTAATTAATTAATCAAGTAATTAAAGTCAATTAATTGGTATAGACTATTATAACATCAACAAGTCTTATACAACGGCTCAGCTAATGATACAGGCATACGGCATACAGGGTAATACCGTAATGATACAGTTTTTAAATGCAGAATTTTTATTTTGGTAATTGTTTACTGTGTCAGTAATGCGAGTTTTTAGGCCTTACGATGGTTTTCAATGACTTTAGACGAGAGGGTCATGCACAAATATGTTGAGCACCAATACGTGAGCATGATAAAATGTTATTATATCATTTGTTTTATTACACATTTTAGAATGTATTTTATAATATCATGGAAATTGTATTTGATGTAGGCCTATGTTTATTTTTTTAACGTCTCCTACAAATTAAACACCACGAGCAAATGCTCGGTCCCCTGCTACTTGGAAAATAAATGAACATATTATTTTGAAAATAATATGTCTGACCCATTTTACTCCTGTAAACCATGGGAAATAATAGTTTCCACAAATCTACACATCTAAATCAATATGCCTTATTTTGCATGCAGTATATAATTACGTTTCTGAAGGACTAAGGAGGTGATTCTAAAATGTTTTACTTTGGAAGAAAGGCTATGCCATTTAATTTAATATAAAGTAAACAGGCTTCCGTGGTGGTTTAGGGAGGTTCTGTCGAAAATTTAGGATTTAATTGATAATGTTTTTACAGTCGAAAATCCTCTAAGGGATTTTCTATAGGAAACAAATTTAGAATCTCTGGATTTATGTAAAAACTAACAATGTATTTGTTTACTTTTAAAATACATATATTCATACATGATTTCCGATTATGCTTAGTTGAACATGCATGCTATTTCATCAATGTTCATAAACGCACAGCCACAAATCCATTGACTTTAGATATGACGAGTAGACAGTATCTGCCTTAACACCCAGCAGAAATCCGGATGCTTTTAGGGTACAACATAATAATACTATATAATGCCATACTGTATTAGTTATTTAAGTTTGTTTTAGCGAATTTCCAATATAGGGAATAAGCTATTACCATAGGTCTTATGGTAAGAGCTGGACCCGGGACCGATTTACTTTTGTATTTTGATGTCCCCAGAGACCAAAATCACTATCCGTTTGAATTCATATATAACGGAGAGTGAATTCATATATATTGTTATCTCCTATGATTCATATATACGTGTGTGTGTGTGAGTGTGTCCGTTAGCACGATAACTCGAGCAAATATTTTCCAATTTTGATTAAATTTGGTACGAACGTGTAAATCTACGTTTATTCGAACGAGTTCGCAAACCAACATGATCATACTATGGGAACGGAGTTTTACGGGATAAAGTTAGGCTTTCTCATTTCTGACCCTCAAAACTTAAAATTTACAATTTCTCTAAAACGTTTTTTGTAGAGCTTACAAAACAATTTATTTAGTACCGTGAAATGTTTTGTACGGTTATTGGTAACGGTGAAATTTAAAAAATGTAAATTCAAAATTTCCATGTTATTCTTATAAAGAATAATTAAACTGTCGTACTTAGCGCGATCACACTTGGCAAATGTAATCATTTTATATTAAGCTATTAATATTAAAAAAAACACACATATCACCCTCACTGTAGCAGCAAACCTAGGTACTCGTTAAATATACCGGTAATGTTAATTAATAGATTTAAATGAAAATCAAATCAGGCAAATGGAAATTCGTTTAGTCCACAGGTTGGCTGCGGCTGGGGTATTTCTGTTTGTTTATGTTTTATCCTCCTTGAGATTGTTGCAGTGTAATAGGTTTTAAATTGCATCTTATAAACATGACCATGTTGGTTTTATCAGAAAGTGGTCGTAACAGTTACTGGATAAACTTTTTTCAGGCGAAATTTTTTTTAAATTTTGACTTGAGATATGTTCCCTCACACACCAAAGGTTGAAGTTTTTATTTTATGTTTCTATCAAGTCCTACTTCTTAGTCTCATTTACGTAGCAGCTAAAGAAGTATTCCTGTAGTAACTCTTGTGAAGTAACTAAATACTTAAACTCGGAAAGAGCTGCGAATACACATATGATGGCAGATGGGCATTGTTTATATCATTATAAGACGGTGTGCCGATTGTGAAGATTGTATTTGACGTTCGAAACTGAGTGATGTCAACGTTTTCAGACCGCTGGTGTCGATTGGGACCATCGAAGGAAATTAAGTTTGTATCGAAGATTGCGACTTCCAGCATTTTCAAACAAATATCATTAACAGTTGGATATGTAGTCATCGATTAGACAGCCAATCAAACAATACTTCGGAGATCGCTAAGATGCTCTGGACACTGAAATATCATTTCCGGGCATAATATTTATACTCGTATTTATAAAATTTATACTTATAAATCGACGATCGAGTGATATACCTGATTTACATATTGGCCATGAGTGAAAACTTGCATAAAACAGAATCGAAAGTGAAAAAACTACGTTTTTCATGTTTTGTACCATCCAAAAAATTTTTAGGACGCCCAATGGCATTAGTAAAGAATGTAATAAAACTCACCAACAACTTAACTAAATCGTACTTACAATTAGCAGTTATTTTTTGTGTTGGAATAGATCTGTGAGTTGTATGGTGTATGGTTCACAACATGTTCGGTTCACAACAGATACGGATATGGTTTTTGGTCTCTAGGGACATCAAAAAGAAAAAGTAAACCTAACCCGGGGCTAAACCTTACCTCAGACCTCAGAATATTTGTTGGAAATTAAAAATTGCAATTGCGGCTAATTCAAATAAAATCACAAAACTGTCATTAGCTCTTATATACTTGGATCAGGAGAACAAAGTCCGCTACTGAGGTGTAAGTATTTCAGGAAACCAGCTCAAGAAGCTGAAGATTTACCTGAATAAAGTTTCCCCACACACTCCATTTGCAAGGTAGAGAAGTTAATCTCTTTCAACACATAGTGGCATCGGTCCTCCGATCAGCTCACTCTACCTACAGCACTGTATAATTATATATGCCACACGCCGCCACATATTCCCTGCGAGAACCAAATATTTTTGACTTCTGATTGAAACTGTCCTATGTGCGTTTGGTTATAATTGAGCAAATTATTTAATGCAGATTATGTTGGACATCATTTCTATTAGGGGACACACATATTATTTTAATTATATGTATTTGAATATGTATTTCAATTATACATACATGATATACAAATACAGGATTAATAACGTCTGGATCAGGATTAGTCCAATATTGATTTCAGACAAACCGTTGATCACCCAATGAAATGAGGAACTTTCTTACTAAACCAACCCGAAGGAATAACTTTAAAATATTTATAATGTTTTTCGAATACATTAAGTGGTGAACGACAGGCGCACAAGTTCAAATCTCGCAATTATCAAATACTAACATCTGTCATTTTATACACAATTTTAAAGCTCTAGTAAATACAGACATTTTTGTGCGATTAGAATTTAACAATTATTTATTCGTTTAAAAATGGTGGCTCTTTATGTGGAAAATTTGGTACTATTTTCAATGCCCTATATTTTTCGTAAAATTCGGATATCTCTACTATGATTAAACATTTTGCATTTCTCGTGAGTTATTCCTTATGGTTAGTTTAGTGTGGAAAATGTGCATTTCATCATTATGGCACCAACGGTCTATCTTAATTTAATAGTGGACACCTTCAAGAGATTCACCCTGTGTAGCATTGACAGGCTACAAAACAACAGGGGTAATGCAAATAGGGTGTGGACGAGGACATCACTGGCATAGAAATGAATCGTGGCCCTTTAAACCGACCCCTTTAAATACTGCCCGAGACTCCATCCATTTAAACTTTAATTCAGCAATGACCTTACTGCATCAAACCCAAAACTGATACAATTATTGTACCTTGTAATATGACGACAGTCTGATAAGTCCCGTTATACAAGTCCAAGTCCAACAACAATTTATGGCCTCTAAATTGCAATATCTTTATCAGCCGCCATATACTGTAGTCTGCATTGTGATTGTGCAACAGTTATCTCAAAGGCCAAATGTGACGCTGAAATATACTCTCTATGTCTTACATTTCATGTTTTACCACTTTCGATTCACTAAT